ACCCACTTCGTCCTCCCCCCGCTCTCGACGACAACGCCTCCTCTGGCTCTCTCTCCCCCCAAATTCCCACCGCCATCACCACCGCGAAACCCACCCTCGCGATTACTCCCGCTCTCGACGCCGTGATCACCTCAGAACTCCTCCCGCCTCCCGCTGTCTACGCCTCTCCCTCCCGCCTCCCGCTGTCTACGCCTCTCCCGCTGTCTACTCCTCCCGCCGTGATTCCTCCCTCCTCCTCCCGCCTCCCGCTGTCTACGCCTCTCCCTCCCGCCTCCCGCTGTCGACGCCGGCATCGACGCCAAGATAAGGTAAAGTCTGATTATCTTTTTTTTAATCTTTCAGGAGTTTGAAGGTGAGTAAAGATCATGCTTGTGAATGGCTGATATGGTTTCTAATTGAGGTAAAGTATGATTATCTTTTTTTCAATCTTTTTTTCTCAGTACCTTTTGCATTGTGTCTGCGATTTAGAATGTGTTCAGACTGAGACTTAGAAATTGTTTCATGAGTACAGAAATACTATTGAAATTTGATGTTTGGTTTACACACAAATGGAGATATTAGGATGTTCTTATGTTGGTAGCTACTAATTTCCATCCCCTGGATTGAATTGTGTATATGCTCAATCACTTTCGTTGACAGGTTACACAAATGGAGATATTAGGATGTTCTTATGTTGGTAGCTGCTTAATTGTTTTGGAGAGGACAGATGAGACGCGAATTGATGATGATATATTCACTTGATTGAGATATGGACCCAGTTTAACTTCACAGGCAAACGGGAACATTTTGATTTGGGAATCTAGGTTGCATGTTGGCAGAGTGAAGAAAGGATTGCTCTGCCTGAAAAGTGGTTTCTGTATTTCATTCCTATTTTGGTTTTCTGTATTTGTACGTGCTGGAGAGAATCATTGTTGTATGTTTCAGGTTCTCCCCGGAGTTGTATGTTGTCCTTGTTGTAATTCATTTCTTTATATGCGTTGATACGTTTTCTTCATTTCTACTTATCAGATCAAAAGAATTAGACGGCTTAAAAGTGCAAGAAAAACGTCTTTACCTGCTTTAGTTCTGAATTAATGGTCTACGTGTGTTGGGTAATGGTTCCGTTATGCGTCTGGTCTTAAATGAAAGCGAAAAAGCATCTGCTTACCTGTTTATTTTAACAAGAATTTTTTAGGTGACTCAACTCATTGATCATCAACCAAGCTGCTATCCTCGTGTTTGCTGCTGATGTTACGTTCAAAAGGAGGACTCAACTCATTTACCAAACCATTCATTCATACTACATCACATGAATCTAAAACTGCCGTGTACCGACAAGAATCAAATCAAGTGAATATATTGAATCTGAAAGCAAAAGAAGCCTGATTAATACTACATCACATGAATCAAATCCAAACCATTCATTCATACTACATCACATGAATCTAAAACTGCCTGTAGGCGTCAAAAAAATGCTGAAAGATATCCAAATACAGCTCAAGGGGAAATCATCCAAAAAGGCAAAAGAACACAAGTATAGACTGTCTCACAGGCGAGACAGTCTTTACTGTCTCGCCCACGGAGACAGTCTTTACTGTCTCGCCTGGCGAGACAGTTTTCACTGTCTCCCCCCCCCGAGACAGTTTTCACTGTC